TAATGTAATCAAACATTTGAAAAAGCACCGCATGAAAGAGCACGAGGATTTTTTTATCCAGGGGACAGAAAAAGGACAAGAGCCGCCAGGAATTACTTCTGGAGTCATACCAAAAGCAAGGTAAACTTCCAGCAGACAGCGTGAAAGATAATAAAGAATAAATAATAATGACAATAATGATGGTAAAGCTAACAGAGCTCTGGTATCGGAATAGTATCAGTATCGCCAAATTCGGGAATCGAGATCGGATTGGATGTGAAAAAATGTGGATGAGTGACTACTTTCTCACTGGATGTAAATGAAGGTTTGAAGCAAATATCTTCAACTCTTGGTCACTGCTGATATATTTGTCACTTTCAGTCTTTACAGCCAATTATTGCTGTCCTTGTTGCTCTCTTTACGTCACTAGCATCAGTGTGAAGCAGGGTACCAAAGGGTTAAACTGAGGTGATTGTTTTGCAGTTGTACCGTTTATTGCAATGCGCTGAACTCTAACTCATTGTGATGTGTTGTGTCGTATCATGAGTCATCTTTGTGTCGTAGCTTCACAGCTCCAGATTTACTCAGCTGTCCCTGCTGGGGTTATTTTCCTGAGGGTAAATCTCTGGATGGTGGAAAAGTAAAGAAAAGAGCAACCTGGAGTTTGTTAACTTAATGAAACACTCGGGGGATCAGTTGTTGTTTTACTGCGGTGGGAGTCAGGAGCTGGGCGAGTGGTTTGGGTTCACGTCAGGGTCTCCTCTTTCACGGCGTAAAGTGCAAACCTGACAATGACGCCAGCTTCCACTGCGGGGAAGCGGACTTCTTCCTCATCCGGCTTATGACAGGAACTGTTGTGAGAACAGGTGTCACCAGCAGCTCTTCCATCATATGTTTGAGCATGTATTAGATCATTTTGGGTTACGTAACAGAATACATATTTTAGATGAAGATTTCCTTCCAAACCAAAACTTTTAATCTCATATTTTGCTCTCTTTGTGCCCAGATGTTGGACCACTTGGTGCGGATTTATGCGACACAGCGCGACTGAAACTGGTCTTTGTTAAGGTGAAGTTGGATGCAAACTGTCCTTTAGACTCGCTCTGATCCAAATGTTCTCCAAACTGATATAACAGCACTGAAGTCACACCTTACGTCATAAGCACCCCTCTGCACGCAACGCAGCTAGAGGAGGGTTCTGGACATTACTCACAGGCGATGACAGACATCTACTGACACATGCACCGGCACAACAAGTGGGGGAAATAGTCTGCGAAAGAGGGAAGAAGGATAAACTCAATCCCAGTGACTGTTTACAGTTGCCACGATTACATCCCTCCCCTTACACACACACACACACACACACACACACACACACATCCACACACACACACACACACACACACAGTCCCACCAGGCAAATGCATCTGCCAGCGAAGATCCGGCCTGAGCGGGAGAAGACTTTCCCAGAGATATCAGTGACGTACATATGTGAGCAAATACACGCACATCCACACAAACACACACACACAAGCGCGCACGCTGGTGTTGTGTCAGACACTGTTGGTTTTCATTGTTTTCATTTCTCGCTGGATTGCCTGTTTATTTTAGCTGCCTCTGCTCAGGGAGCCAACAGTGGTCCACTTAGACATGGAACGCCGGAGGGCTCACTGAGCTGCTCTTCCTCTGCAGCATCCCCAGAACAAATAACTTCACCTAACGTGGAGAGAGACCAGACTGGACTGGCTCCTGAATCCAATGTCAAGGAAGTCATTAAAAGTTTAATCGCTAGTCTGCGTAACAGTTACAAAACGAATTTCACAGGGTGTTGAGAGAGCTCAGCAAGGAAAGTAAATGCTGCAGAAACAAAAGCCCCGCCCTCCCCTCCTTAAATGTCCTGTTGATTTTTAACTTTCCTGCCAAATAAAGGAGAAACTCTAAAAGACATTTCACACCGTCATGTTTACAAAGTTAAACCAATAACTGTTTTTTTATTAAAAATGACATTTATCATGATTGTGAGGGAAATCTGAGCCACTCCGTGCCAAAACACTGCGCTTGACGCCTTTATCCGTGTCTATGAACATGTTACAACCCCAATACCATGTGAGTTCAGTACGAAAAAGGATTAGGACCACAAGAAGAGAAAATAATAATAACAGGAGATTAAATTTCGACTTTATTTATGTTGACTCTAATCTCGAAATTTCAACTTTGATCTCAAAATTTTATTTTTTTAATGTCGAAATTTTGACATTATTCCCAACATTTTGTAATCTCCAAATTTTGAGTTTAATCTCGTAATTTCAATTTTTAATCGACTTTAATGTCATAATTTTGATGTTTTAAATCTCAAAATTTTGACCTACATCTCCTTCCTGTAATTATTTTTTTTCTCATGTGGCCCTAATCCTCTTTCATAGTTCAGACATCATGTTAAATATAGACAAAAACATATTTAGATGTTTTTTTAATCAGATATTTGATTGAAGACAATACATGATGTGTTAAAACTAAGAAAAATTATAGTCTGATGAAAAAAAGGTCATTTCAAGTTTGATGATTTCTTAAAAGTAGTAACAGGGATAGCAAGACACTAAAAAAAAATGTTTGATTGGTAAAAAAATGCTTGAGCAAAAATTTTATCATGTATGTACATAATCTTAAAACATACTGAGAATCTGGGGAAATCGCTGTGTTCAAGAGATTTGTCTGAAAACAACACTGGTACATTTTTATCAATAGTTTACACAACATCTGGACCTCTCCTGAATCAGGGTTTTGTAAAGTCCCAGACATTACCTTTCTCTGTGTGGAGACAGAAAATTCTCCGAGTTTGAGATTACACAGAATCAGCAGTGTTGAGTTGAGACAAAGAGCAGAGTGACCATGAACAGTGTGAGGACTGTGATAGTCATTCTGGGAGTTTGAGTCCAGAGAGGTGGGGTTCGGTATGTTTCAAAGCATAAAGGACACGAGGGATGGCGAGCTGGAGAGGACGCCAGCGCAGGTAGGATTGAACAGGAGTTCATGTTCAGGTAACAGGACAGGCGTGGATCCGAGTCTAGACGCTTCGTAGGCAAGATGAGAACCTGAGTGTTCATTCGCAGCTGGGGAATCAATCTACCCATCTCTCACTCTTTCACTTTTCTACCTCTCTGTTTGTTCTCCCCCTAACCTCTGACCTTAATCGAGGGATTTGGATCATAGTTTGCTAAGTCTAACTGGCATGGTTGAAGTATGTTGGCTAGTTTAATGAGAAAAGGGGGGCAGCTCCAGGCTTGGACAGACCTTTAGGAAACTGCTCCAGTGAAAATATCTTGTGTTAAAAAAAAGGACAGGATATATGTCATGTTCACTTTGCTTTTGACTTTTCTTACCTGCTTTTCAGCACACTGTAAAGCCCTGTCCTGTTCAAATGGGTTGTTTTAAGACAAAGTATTGGCCTGATTCTATCGCCAGGTATCATTAAGCCATCCGCTTAGCATTTTCAATTAATCACCAGAGGAACGCTAAAGCCTGTATCGACTCTTTTGGGAGTCCACCCAATGACTATTAAGAAATCTGACTCAAAACCGAAAAAGAGAACTTCATTATAGTGATGGGGAAAAGGTCAAAGGATCCCCAAAGTCGTTATGAGTGTGCTCAGGGAGCAGTGAGTGCCTGAACCATATTTTTGTACAGACCCCCTTGGTAAATGTTGCTGCACTGGTTGCGCAGAAACTGAGTTCAGAGTTGTGATGTTGTGATTTATGTCTAGGAATCGAGACAGTTCTCTCTGGATCAAAAACAACCAGTAGAGGTCAGAGGATCCTCAATGTTTTAGGGGTTATGGGGGACCTTGAGTCCATATCTGGGCTAAAATTAGATAGATAGATGGATTTATTTATTGGTCCCCATGGGGAAATTTGTCTTCACCAACTGTACATTACATAAAAGTACAAAAATGCACATCACATACGACAGACCTTGAGGAACAGACAACTAATGACAAACACCCGGACAACAACAATCAGCAACAAGCAGCAAGGAGGCAACAGGACAGATTATTCACCGGGGCCTACTACTCAGGTCATCTATAGCTGCAGGGACCAGGCTTTTCCTAAAGTGGGCCTTGCGAAACCTTAGAGATCTTTAATAACTGGATTCCACCGCAAGCAGATCAGCTACGCTACTCTGTGGAACAGCTGGCGGATCAAAAAAAGCAAGCATACGGTGCCCACCGGATCCGATCCGCTGCCGCAAGCAGAGGAGAAGCACTTGGAATACTACCGATATTTCTTGCGAGACTGGACAAAATCTCATGAGATCTCGCGTGTTCCACCATGAGACATTGAGTAAGATTGGCGGTGTATATAAACACCCCACATCAGACAACCCTGGCCCCTCCTATAATCACGTGAGAAACAGTTCAACGTATTGACTTCATTTTACTTTGAAAACGAACAGGATATTTTACTCTGTAGTGCCGGAACGGATCTGCAGATGGCGGTCTGATTGTGTGGAATTAAGCACATTGATCATAATGCTTGCGTTTTAGATCAGGCTGCCGTTCCGGAGCGCAGCGGTTCTGTGTCCTGTGGAATTTAGCCTTAAGTCTTGAACCAAGTCACCAACAAACCTACTTTCTTCTACCTTCATGCCCCAAACAAGACCAAAGTAAGCGCACATGACTACACGCAGAGAAAAGACAACCAGACTGACTTGACGAACTCAATGAACAAGGTAAAACACAACTCCAATAAACTTAAAGGGTCAAAGGTCGTGGGGTTAATATGCTCAGAGTAATCATGGTCCCATATTGGCCAGGTTCATCAGTCTCTCCTTGTGCCCTGTGTTTGCTTTAGTCCCCCCCTCCTCCGCTTAACGCTGCACTTTTCCAGGAGCAGGTGCGAGGGGGTGCTGAGTAAGCTGAACACGTAGATTTTTTGGGGGGTCGATCTGGGATGACCACTGAATCCCACCATCCCGGCTTCTTGACCTGCAATCAAAGCTCTGACTTTGGGAGCGTACGGGGGTAGGGGGGTTGGGGATTTGAGGCCACATGCTCCTCATCCACCTGCACACTGACAGGCAGACAGGCCATGTCACAACAATCTCAAACACCCCTGTGCCCCGGCCTAACCTTAGCCAACCCCCCTCCCTGCCCCAGCTAACCCCTGCTGACCCCTGCAGCCATCTGTTACGGGGCTCTGGGATGTGTTGATTGGCCAGGGGGGAGTGGGGTGAGGGGTGGGGCCCCGGGAAGGGGATTGGGGCTTCTGGATTGTTGAGGGGTGACTGAGGAGCTTTGAGGGAATTTGTACACAAAGCATGACGGGGTTCAAAGTGACACCTTGCACAGATTGTCTTTGGAGAGCAATTTAAACACCTGTCTGCCCGAGTCCGCCGCTAACAATGGTTTAACAATCCCTAAATACGTATCTGGCAGCGCTGCACAAGGCCTTTCCGTTAAGAAGCCCAACGTTCATTCACATTAGCTTGGGATGAGAGCTGGCTCATGTTACAGTGTCGCATCCATCTCTGCCTGCTGTCTTTCTTCACCGGAGCCATTAGTGCTGCCGTAAAACCCTCCGTGAGCAGGGAAACAACTGCACTCTACCTGCTAAATACAACTGAATGATCAGACTCCTGAAACTGAAAATGAATAGTTATAATCTTCTTTTTGAGTCTGTTTTGTTGGTGAATTTACTGCATGTTTGTACTCTTAAAAAAATATAGATTTTCTCTTCAACTACTTCTGCTTCTTTTTTCTCATGAGGACAACATGGTAGCAGTGTTGATAGAGAGTTTGTGAAGTATCATCGAATGTTCAGAGTTGGTTTAATCTTGCAGCGTCTGACCTCAAACAAACCACAACCAATCGTTATTTTCAGAGTCTTTAACAGAGACCTGCAGACAAGTAGGGGGAATGTGTTTCACGAAGAGGTGCACACAAATCAGCCAACATTCGCCAAATCACTCTCCTACGGCAGATTTAACCTTTTAGACCATTGTGCTTTTAAATCTCAAGTCTCAGCCTAGGCCAGTCAGGTTTTAAAGCAGATCCAATCACAATCTCATGAATTACATCATATCTGCGTTCGACAGAAGGCCTGGTTTTACTGCCGTTGATAGATCAGTCTGAAGATTTTGATACCGTTTTTCACTTTCTACTTTTGCAAAAGTAATTTCATATAAAGTTGCAGAAGGTGCTTTGACCTGGTTTCAGGATTTCAACCTGTTAAAGTAGGTCAGGTCAGATCTGCATGTTTGTTGAGGTGTCCCTCAAGGTACAGTTTTGGGTCCTGTGTTTTTTTTTTTTTTTTAATGATCTATTTTCATCTTTAACGTTGTTTCCTCTACATGTTTATCTAACTAATCAACTTTCAGGCACAGTTGTTGATTAAATTTATTGATGCTTATTGATGGCTCTTTACACAGATATTGACCACTATGCTAATGAACCCTGGTTCTGTGATCTGTGGCTACTTCTGGGATATCAGGCAGCACTCGGTGGTCCAAGATGTTACTGCAGAACCGGACCCTTATATAAATGGGTTTGAGCTTAAACACAAGAGAGCATCCAAACAGCTGAATCTCCTTTATAAACATCAAAAGTTGAACTTGTATTCGGAGCAGGTGTGTCCGCTCTATTATGCAGCAAGCTCTCCTAATGTTGAAGACATCAGGTGGTTTTCTTCCCTCTTCCCATTTTTTGTCCTCATTTGGACTGAAGAGAAATGCTGCATCTCTCCAAACCAAATACCGCAGCACCAAGACTGACCTTTGCCCTGCACCTCTAGAGCTATTTTCTACCGGCACGTGTTCGACATGCACCCGGTGACCAGATAGAGAGGAGCAGTCCTCTGCAGTGTCAAAGGTAACGCACTCAGATTACGCAGAGTAGTCAGATAAAGTGAGTTTAATGACACTTTTGGATTCACAGACGTCTTCTACCTCCACCAGCTTGACCAAAACTCCTTGAATAATAAACACTTTCACTCATTTGAAGTCATGTTTCTGGCTAGCTGACAGGTGTAGGTGCAAACTTTGTATTTCTTGGAGGCCTTTTTTGTCCTCCTACCTCTTGAGAAATCACCCCTTTTCATCTGCTGCTGTGAGACTTTCTTCCCTCGCTTGCTTCTTGCACTCTTAAGTCGGCTGTTTGATGCTGGGCAGGCGGTGTGCAGCGGTTTCCAGGGCAAAGTTGCAGGATGTAAAAACGTTAGAAAAAAGCCAAAATAACAGAAATATTCAGGCCAAGTCAAGTGAAAAGTTGATTGTAATTCTGTGTGGGTTTCCTTTCATAATAGAGCAGATTGAAAACTCGGCCTCTGAAACCTCCAAAATTGCCTTAACCCTCCAGGAAGTGCCTTTAATCAAAGCCATTGCATGCCTATTAGCCAGCGTGACAACATTATTACTACTGTATGATGCGTGTGTGAGCAATTTTACCTTTGTTATTTATGGAGAGGAAACAGAAACATCAAACGCTGGGAGCTGAGAAATCCCAGCCAGTCATGAATTTGTGCGTTTGCAATAACATCCTGAAGGTTGTATTTTTAGTTAAAGCCTTTGAGTCAGGGACACAAGGCGGGCAGCCCAGGAGGGCTCTTACTGTCCAGATGGTGACAGCGCTCTGATGGTTTTTGCCTTTGAGGCGCCAAGATGGAAACTTTTGGAAAAGGAGTGAGTCACACGCACCGGTCACAGGATGGACAGTCACTCATGACTCCAGAAAAAACACACATACAAAAAAAAAACAAAAAAACGTGTGCGCCTACATGAAAACACACTCGCTGAAATTGCTGCAGAGGATGCTCGCTCTGTTTGTAAGGCACGTTCGTTACTTCCTTGCACGGATGAATTGTTCTGACCTCAAACATCCGGTGCATAAAAGACGTCTTTATGAAGTGAAATGTCGTACAAACGTTTCTCTCTATTTGTCGGCTTAGTAATCCTTTTTAAAAATCACACAAACGCAGAATCGTTGCAGATTTCTCTCGTTAAACTGCATCATTTGCTCATAGACATGTTTTTTAATTTACTGTACAATACACGAGGAGTTAAGTGGTACAGTATAGATGTGGATTTGCTTTCTGCTCTGAAGGTTTACACTCCATCTGGCAGAGTGTGAACTCATTCCTCTGTGGATCACATCGGTCTGCAGGAGGCCCGGCACTCTTTCTTGCTCCAAATGGTGACATGTTTCCATGTGTGATAAAGGGCACTCGGCTTTAGCAGGAAACAAGACACCTGTTGCTCTAGTCCACTTACCCCAACAGGTTATTAGTTCATCAGATTTCTTCATAGTTAATTCTCAAACACGATGGAAAAAGACTTAAGTGAGCAAAAACGCAGAAAAAAAAGAACGAACTACCAAAAGGATCTGGTATAATGGCACCATCTCCTCTTCTGCCTTAAACAGTTTAATCTGAATTTAACACTTTATAGCAGCTGATAATCCAGGAATCAACCCACATTTCACTTTAACATGGCAACAGTCAAAACAGTTTGAGACTGATGTCTGTTTTGATGCCACAGCAACATAACATGAATTTCTGTGCACCTGAAATCGTTAATTTTGTAAAAAGAAAAAAAAATTCCAACCTGTACTTAAAGAAAATTACTCGACACAGACCATTGCTCGACAAAGCCAACTATTAGCAGTTATGAAAATTAAAATAATGAGCGTGAGGGCAACTTAAAAAAAGATTTGAAGCGTAAATTCAGTGGAAAATAACGTAATTTATGAGAACTAAGTCCCAGTCTAAAGAGGATCAATTAGTGACTCTAATCACAACATAACATAATGACTTTAATCTTATTACATTTAATTTATGATCTCTTAATTATATCATGTATGGCTGAATTGTGCGTGAGCTAAATCTGGTACAATAGCTGAATTAATGCATGGACGTGTTTCTTGGCAGACTTAACTTCAATCTAGAGTTGTCACACTTTATTCTCATGCTTTCATAACTGTAATCTCTTAACAAGACTTAATTCTTGTACTAAAAGGACTGAAATCTAAAATTATGATTATTTTATCCTTGTTCTTTATACTATGTGTTAGAATTTGACGTGTCATGATTTTATCCTTTAAATCTTATGTACACCGTCAATAAAATATTTCATTTTAATTATATTCTTGATATACTCTATACTCTTAATTCAGAGGAGGTGTTTGGGGATGGTGGGTGTATTTGCATCGTTGTACAGCACCAAGGGCATGAGTGACTCATGGGTGTGGGTGAGTAAAGTCCGCTTTGAGAGAGGCCCTGAGTTTCTTTTAACTATGAAGGTGAACCCTGACCTCAGGGAGGAAACATAAGGAGGCTGACAGACGACTCATCATTCCAGTGCAGCGCTGGTGACACATCAGCTGCACAAATTCGAGACGCCTTATCCCGTCTTTGGATCGGCCAATTAAATACCACCACACTTTTAGTATCCTGGTTATCTGCATTCCCTAAACTCTAACCCAAAGCCACCTCGACGACCTTACTGTAAAGGTTGCAAACTTTAAGGCAGTGAGTAAGTAAAGGTCCCAGTGAAAACTCCCATTCAACCAAGCAAACTGACATTACGTCGCTCTTTGGAAAGGTCAACAGGGTCAACATTTGAGTCTCACGAGATTGAAGACACTATATACAGTTAACCAGATCCTTTAGATCCAGAACCTTTAAAACCGGGCCTAGACTTGTATGTATTATTTAAAAGAGCTACACATCTGCACCAACACTGCACATTGCTGACCGTCTTAAAAAACCTTTTTGGTTCTTTGCGTTCAGGTAGGTGAAGTTATATTTGTCTTCATATGTAGTCCTTAGTCAACAAGTGTCAGTGATGTAAGAGAGGGGTCATCTATTTCTATAGTTTGAAAACCAACCGAGACCAAGCTATGACCAACAGCAGCAGAAGAAAGTTGGTTTTTAATATGACGTTAACATAAAGTCATCAAAAGCCAAATCAGGCAGTCGGCTCTGGAGTTAATTAGTCAGTAATTATAGACCAATCGTAAGAAAGGTGTTAAAACCAGAGCAGAGCACAGAGTGGAGGAGAAACTAAAGGGTAACAGTCCACAGAAGCAAACCCAGATTAAAAGGATAATCCCCCTGTCATCCACCCTCTCTGCCCCCAAACAGACCATCTAATTCCCCCCATCTTGTCATGTGGACCCCCTGCTGAGAGTAAATTACCGTTTTCCAGTTACAGCTCTATTCCAGGGTGTAAAGAAGATGAAGAGATTATAATCCTCCTCCTTAAAAAAGACTTACACAGGACTTCCAGTGGGGTTTATGTTGGACTTCAACAAGAGCTTTTTATATATTTATTTATGTTCTTTGACTTTAAGTGTGAGCAGAAGAGTTTGAAGACTAATTTAAGGGTCACATTTTTGGAGTTTATGAACTTTACTTTGCACAGAAGTTTTGTTTCATTGAGTTAACAAAGTCCACTTTTCTATTTTCAAAACTTGAAAATGCCGTGAAAGGTGAAATGACACATCACCCAGTTAAGGTCGTAGTGTCTCAGATGAGTGAAGCAGTGAAGTTCAACACTGAACCGAGTCAGTAAGATAGAGGGCAGCAGCTTTGGTCTGCTTTGTCTGGAAGGGAAACACTGACATCAAGTGGCCAAACATGGAATTACAGACACTGGATTTAGTCTGTTCCCACTCAGAATATGTCCATTTGTGATATTCAGGTTAAACATTATCATTGTTTAATTAACTCAATTATGCAGCGTCCTTAAAAGAGAGGATTTCTGAAGAGCAGCATTGTTCCAGGATAGCTGTGACAGATTTTAAAGAGCTTAAAGTTTTGAGAATATGTTGACTGCTCTTAAAAAATGTCAGTTTTCCAAAAATGTGGGTTTTGTTGGCTCATTTATTTTCTCTTTTTTTTTGTTTTTTAAAGCATTTCAGACTGAACCTTTCACTTGAGCAGAAAACTACAGCATCTCTTTCTGCTTTTTATATCAGCCTTTATTTTTAATAACTGTTCACTCTGCAGCCTCACTCTTCAGCTCCTTTTCTACAGCAAATTGCTAAAAATGTCACGGTTTCTGAACCCTCTTATACATTTTTTCACTGGTGTGTTTTATGAGTCGGGAGGTCTCGAACCTCATTACATCACTGGAATAAAACAAGTGACAAACTTAATAGACTCACATTCCTAAAGCTTGTTATTTTTTTTAAATGTCTGCATTTTTCATATTTTTATGAAGCTGCAAGAGTCGAGGAGATTAGTCCATAAAACTTTACTGTAACTGTTTCAAACTTTTACAGGCTGATCATGCAGTGATGTCATGAGAGCGCACAACCAAAGACCCCAGTAGATGTAGCTGGACATCATGGCTAGACTAGGATTTTACTGGAAGAGGGATTAGTCGGTGTTTTACTGTAACTCATGAGCTGTTTCTGTGTCAAGGACGCATCTTATCCTTTGAATGTAGTGAGCACTTTGTGACCACATTGACATTTTAAAGAAGTTTTTAAGTAGCGTCAAGTTTTCCTCAGACCCGTAAAGTAAACAAAGATATGTGCAGTGCTTGTCAAACTTAATAACCGTACCTTTAAGGTGTAGAGTTTTAGATGAAGCAGAACAGACTTGGTAGAAATCATTTATATTTGTAAGCATTTTTAAATAAGTGTATAATCAGTTAAATATCAAAGTTACTTTTATCTTTTTAACTTTGCGGGATACATTTCTATCGACACAGGAGTGAGTCTTCTTTGGTTTTATTCTGCCATGTTTCAACCGTCGCAGAGTGGGTGAAGTAGTGACAGCAGTGTATTATACTTACCGTATTTTTCACACTATAAGGCGCAGCTGATTATAAGGCACACCGGATTATAAAGCGCATTAAGCCAAACAAAACACTCAGTCAGATAAGTCAAACTTTATTTAACTCATTCAATAATTCTGCAAGTCTACAGTAGATGCAGTGCTCCAACAAGCCAAAAGGATTTTAAGTACGCCTTATAGTGCGAAAAATATGGTAGTCAGTTTGGTAGGGCTGCAAATAACTTTTTTAATGGCCAATTAGTCACCAACAATTGAAACGATTGGTCGACTGATCGGATAATTATTATTATATTACTGGAGGAGGGGAAAACAACGACTGGGAGGAGTTGGAGTGAATGGGTCGTAGAAATCCATCTCCGGGTGATTATCCTGAGAGTCGTTCACTTGAGTGGGTCGTTAACTACCCCTTCCACGTGAGGTGTTGTGGTTCTTTGGTTCTTTTAGAACTTTTAGAACTGAAGAAGCTTCCTGGATAAACAGTGAAACATCTTCTAAACTCTACACAGCCCAGTTAACTACCAGGTCACTGTCATGGATTTAAAAGGATAATGGTTGAATTTGAGCCCTCTAATGTAGAGTAGATATTGACACAGGACAAAAACTAAAGCCTTTGTGCAGAATCGCATCATTAGTAGAGATAAAAAGTCATTTTTTCTTTATGTCCCCCCAAAAATAAAAGACAGGTTTAAATGTTTTTGATTTGTACTGCTTTTTAATATGTTTTTCATCAGAAATAGTAAAAGCCATACAATGTAGCAAACCAAAAAAAATGACAAAGCTCTATACAGGCATAGTAGCTCATTCACACACATTCTTCAGTCCAGACTGATCTGTCGAGGTGGGCAGATGTCTCTGGAGTTTCCATCTTGGCAAACGAATGATTAACATTCAGTTTACAGCTGAGGACGTCCTTTTTTTTTTCTTTTGAATCTCAACAAGCACGAAGTCGGCAAAAATACAGATTCTTTTGACTTCCAGGCCGAGTCGAGACGCTGCTGTCAGGTGAAAATCAAACCCTGATGATAACTATCAATGGCATCGTTCAGTAAAGGGCTGGACTGAGTTAAGACTGGAGGATACTGTGTACAGGTTACAGCGAACAGCGTGACAGGAGCATGCAGGCTCGTCTATTAAATATCGAAACATTCTAGTCAGATATAAAAGCCCTGTAAGTGCTGCTTTTTTATTTTCGAGGAAGTACACAGGATCTAATGTATGCCCTACACTAAACTGTATTTAGTTAACATCATGCTGCTAACTGAGAGCATCAGGCACTAAAGAGGGAGTTATAATGTCTACTACTCATTCTTTGAATGGGCCGTCAAAATTAAAACAACAATGTGATGAAGTGACTCGCACATTTACCCTTTGACTTCACAGCTAAAACACTGTTGAAGTATAGAAGTAATGATTTTTGATTACCACAAGAGGGCAGCAAACACTGACTGATCCGACTAGTCTTTTGGGATTACAGGGAGTCGGCCCCCGTGAAACGTGAAACAGGTTCATCGACGTCTGTATCTTCTGGAGTCAAACACACCGTTAATACTTCAACAGATAAGTGCTAAACTTGGACAATGTCTTTTCTAGGCAGGTTTAAGTTAATAAAACATTTGTGTCGGCATCGCTTTAAGGAAAAACTCCAATTTGGACTTTAGTAGCAACAATCTTTCATACAAAATATTTCCCCCCCTCTTAAAAAAAAAGGAGAATTGAAACAAAAAAACCTCCCCAAGAAAACGAGAATGTTAACAAAAAGGAAGTAATGCTGTGAAAAACATTCAAAAACAACAGTGATACACTTTGAAATGCACACACTTTACACCTTATATATGTCAACGCACTTGACTTCAGCCAGAATAAAGAGCAGTCTTTTCTTCTCGCGTTCAGTAATTTGATGTATACTTTATAATACATGTATACAAGATAACATAAAGCAACAAAGCAAAAAAATAAATATCTTAAGTCACTGTTTAGAAGTTTATATATATATCTATATATATGTATATTCATACGAATAGCTTACTTTTGGGTAGGGTGTGAGTGTTAACAGTTTTGGCCGGCTTACGCAAAGAGCTTCTCTGTAGTGATAGAAATATCAAACAAAGGTGAAAGAAGAGCAGGTGATGCTTTTTACACGAAGGTTGTCCTCGTAAAGAAACTTCAGGCCCTTAAATGACGACTTAATGCTGATGACGAAATAACACCAGGTGAGCTTATCTTTAACAAATGACTGAGATTGAACGAGGCGCCCTCTTGCGGATGCTTCGGCTAAAATCTCAGAGGAATCTGTTGCAACTTTCGCAACAATACTGCATCAAACAGGAGAGGACCCATGGAAATTAAATCGAGGAACAACCCTTTTTCTTTTTCTTTTTTTTTTTTAAACCAAATTTGTCTGTTTGCATATTTAAGACAGCCTGGAAGAGTTACTCCATGTCGTTTTTTTTTTTTTTCTTAAAAAGCTCTGCGTTACAAAATAAAGTCAGGCACCAAATGTCATCTATAACAGTCCTACTCATAAAGCAATCTAGAATATTTACAGAGACGTCACCAGTTGCAAACACTGTTTCCATTGGTGCAGAGTTGACCTACAGTATCAGTACATACAAAAAAGAGACAGTTCAGTATTTTGATTAAGCAGCCATATTTGTTTTACAAAAAGAATACTTCTGACCCTCCGACAGTGGCACACTATACACGCCCTGACTACTTTTTTAAAATCTTTGGTTTACCAGTCAAAAGCCTGATAGATTTACAATCCACCTTTACATCGCACGACTTGACTTCTTCTTTAAAAAAATAAAAAATGAGACAATTGCTAAAAAAATAACATTTGAACACACAACGTCATTCCCTCTTCCTGTTTACCCTGCCAGGGAGATCCGAATCACCTCCCGTCCCATCGTCACACACAGCCCGTCCCCATCCTGCACTTCCTCTGGTCCGTTCTCAAAACCCGCCCAAGAAGAAAAGCACATGCACAAAAGCACACACACACACACTCAAACTCTTTTATCCGTCATCTTCTGACACTCGCACACACACAAACATAAACGTGAAAGAGCAGGAAAACTTAAGGTGACGCGTCAAACCGAAGGCCTTAAATGTCCGTAGCGGAAAGAAAGAGTCTGTGGTTAAAGGGAAAGAGAATAACCAAAGGCATTTAAAAAAGCGCCAGGGTTCGCTGACAGCCTTCATCGTTTCTGAGAGGCGATCATCTTGGAGACGAAGTTGACGATGGCGCTGGCGGGCTGGTCAGGGTCCATCTCGGCGAAGAGGTGGCTGACGTTGTCGGTTGTGCTTCCCTGCTTTCGCGCCACGAACCCAAACAGCCTGAAAAGACAGATTTGGATATTTACTCCCATGTTTTGAGCACCTCTTCTTCTAAACATTAGCGTGGTCTAAAAGTGAACTTACTTGGCTGTGCCTCCCTCAGGCTTGTTCCACCTGAAAATATGAATAAAGATATGAGCTAATAAGGAAGATAACAGGAAACAAAAGCTCTCACACATTCAGCGTTAGTATAAACAAACATAATAGCAGCGTCGCCGTCATCCAACATTGTACTGGAGTTGCTATCACAATTTTGTACTCACTTTCTGTCCTGAGGGTCAATATCGCAGAACGTGACAGTGTTACAAGGGTAGTGGCGTCTGAAGAAAAGTCTGTAAGAAAAAAGGAAACCACAGCTGAGTTACACAAGACCAAAAATAAATCTGTTTTTGATCTGAGACAGGGGAGTTTTTTCTGGTTGT